ATTTATTATTTTTTTAAAAATTTAATATTATTTATTATAACATTTGGTTGTTGAATTGTATTATTTAATATTGTTTAGAGATTTCGAATATTCATGAAAAGACTTGCTGCTGTGGACGATACTTTAAAAGAGTTAGGCACTCCCAAGATATATCGACAGTTACATGCATATGTAATAAGAGTGTTAATTGGATGGTTCGTGTGCATTCATATAGCAAATACACTTGATAGCTTTTGGTGGTTCTACGCAATAAAAGATCATCGGTGCATGATTCTACCTTATATTATGAATCATTTTCATCACGTCAACTTATTTGTGGATTTATTATTTTTGATTTTCCTGTGGTTTGTATTATATTACACAGTATACCTAAATATACATTATAATTTTTTTGTTAATAGATTTAACTTTTTATTATCTTAATACATATGTATTTTACAAAATAGTTGTTAATCCTGGAAAAAGAAAACAAATATTGTAAAAAAGATTAAATTTTTTAGAAGAAACGTATTTAATATTTTTTTGTAAAATTGCCTCGAAAAAAGAGAAATGTTTTTCATGTTTATTCTGCGGACTAAAAAATTTTATCGTAGATTATTTTTATTTCGAGTAATTATGTGTTATCAATTTTTTTATATATTGTAATTATTGTACAATTACTCTGACTTTGTAACAGGTATATTGGTACTAGATTTGACAAGGTAAACGAGCATATGAGATGTCTATTGATTAAGAAACAATATGGATTGAGATATACATGGAGAAAATCTGTGCTGATTACTCGTGAATGCATCATGTATGACAAATACAAGCTCATACTGTGGACTTCAATGTAAATCGAAATAAAAAAAAATATATGCTTGGATTGATTGAAATATAATCTATCAAAGAAATTAATGCATTCAATATAGAAAAAATTCAATTCATTCAAATAATAAAAAAATGATTTCTCCATACACATCATAGTCGTGTTTGTCTTTTTGTTCTCTCATTAACAAATTTTATTCTTTGATAGGCATGTCCATTTGGAATTATGTCAAATCGCTCGTGATTTAAACATAATGTTTGGACCCCAATTGACTATGGAAATAGTAGCCTGTCTAGTATATCTGACAAGATTATGTCATTATATTATTATGCACATAGAAACAAAAGTATTTTCGCCGATAGCCTGGGTTATCATATGTTTTTGGATAACGTTGCACGTGGCTAGACTCTTCTATTTAAATTACATCTGCGAAAACGTCAGCGCTAAGGCAAATTTCAATCCCGTAAACTTGGATATATAGAAATAAAAAGAATAATTCACCAATTGACAGATTTTATTCGGTATGCTGACGTTCGTGACGAGGTAAAAAATATATATATTTCAGTAATAAAAATAAAGCAGTTAAGATTTTTTACGTTTTAATAATTATTCTATGTGCGTAGATTTATCAGTTTTCTTTAGAAATAATATATCATCCGCTGAAATTCACAGGACTGGGTCTCTTCTATTTTGGCAATGGCCTTCTACGAAAGGTTGGTTCTTATATTTATCTTAGTTAATTTATATTTATCTTTTTGTATCTTTTCATTTTCAACTTATATTATAAATAATCAGACCGTAATTGTATATATTACATCTTTCATATAATATTTTTATTATTGTATCTTGTTGTGTAATAGATATTAGATTAACGTACAAAAATGTAGATTTAAAATAGTGCATTATATATGTAATTTTTTGTTTGTGTAAAAAAAATTAATTCACATATTTTCTTTTAGTTCTTCATGACAATTTTGGCATTTCTAATCTTCATAGTGCAGATGACTACCATACCTAAAAAGGAGACGGACATTTAAAAAAAATTGTAAAAAATTAGTACTCATAACGAGCATACATCATATAAGAATTAATAATTTAAAATAGGATTTAAGCAGTTGATAGCACATATATTAATTAAGATATATAAAATGATAAAAATTGCAAAAGTTTTGGCCTTTGTCTGGATTCTTCTTAATGGTAAAAAAATACAATGAACGCAGAGTACAAATATATATGAAGAAATAATTCTCTTAGAAATTTCTCTGCAAAATTTATCAACAAATTCTTTTTTAATCCTTAAACTGTCACTTACCACACAATTATTCCAGGAACTTGTGGAGAAATGTTGCATCTTAGGTCAAATTAATAAAAGTTTATTACTTGAGATTTCTTTAGTAATGAAATAAAAATCAAAGAACAAGAATTTACAATTAAATGTTTGTTAATTCGTTGACTCATCGACAATAAAGCCATTACAAGAAAGATCGCATATGACGAATTCAAAATATATCGAATGTAAATGTTGTGTAATTTTAGTTGTGGATTAAATTTGCTATGAAAATTTTGATGTCTTCATCAACAACGGATTAATTTTTTTTAATAAAATTCTTAAAAACGGATATTTCTTATATTACATGAATAAACAATAAAAATGTAATTTATAAATGTTAAAAAATTTTTATTTAAAACATATATATATATATACATAATATCAAATAATATAAATTAATAAAATAAATTAATAAACGTAACAATGCATAATTAATATAGTAATATTAAACTAATGTCTACATAATTATCAAAATCGTTTACAAAATCAACTTTGTAATAATTAAAAATGTATGAATATCAAGTAATAAGTTGATAGGATACTACGTAAAACTTTTCCGAATTACATATTTTTCTCATTTACTCGTAACATGTTGCATTGTTTTTACTCGAAATTAACATTCGAGATAAGGGAGAAGTATCCATTTCCATCATAAAGAGCATAATACCAACAATTCCTACGATGAACTGAAAATAAATATCAAATATAATTATCGCTATTTAAAAAATTTTCTTACATAAGCCAAACTTTTAAATTACTTCTAAATTGTATTATGCTTATATAGATGTGAATAATATTAAAAACTAACCTTACGAATAAATTTGTAGCCAAAATTAAATAAACCCATTCCGTTGAATTTTAACGGTTGAAGCGATATTTGCAAAACAAACTGGCAAATCTACATTGTATATAACATGAATGTAAAAATTATTAATAAAGGCTATATTTAAAATTGAAAGATTTTAAGCTAGGAAAATTTATCTTACATCTTCGCGTATCTGATTAAAATAGACAAGATCTGTCAATTTATGGATCATGTCTTTGGTTTTCTCCGCCTAAAATAATATAAAAATTTAATTTTACGATCATAATAATTGTATCTTTTTATTCGTATTAATTGTGTTTTTGTATTAATGAATTTTGAAAATGTTTTTGATTCAAGTACTTTACTAAAATAGTTTTAATATTTATCGTAAAAAGATTGAATATCATAGAGAGACTAATCCAGACTAATCATGATGAAAATATTTTTTTTACGATCTATCTAAAAATCTCTTAAGGCTCACCTTGGTACCAACGCTTTCACAGATGTAATTTAATGTTACTAATTTTGTTAAGTATAAACCGCACCATACATAAGTATGAATTAAAAGTGTCAGTTTATTTTCTAGATCGTCCTTGTCCTTATATAATTGTTTGAAACATATTAGCATATGATATTGAAAATAAAATATCCCAGTTAAAAAAACGAAATATGACATCATCTGCAGGGTTATTTGCATTCCGAAAAAATCATTTAGTTTGCGAGCTATTCGGCAAAGTTCCAAATAAAGGTGCCTAGAAAGAAATAATATATTAATAGATAAATATATTTATTATATTAAGACACTGAAATATATAAAGAACTACATGCGTGTAGTATTTGTCTATTTATTTAGAATTAAAAACGATCAGAGATACAATCAGAGATATAATTTAATATTATACAATTACAAATTACATCAAAATAAATATTTTATCATAAAGCAAAACAAAATTAACAATTACAGTTACATTACGTAAATTTGAAAATTTGCGATATATAAATAAATTTGTAAAAGAACAGATTTTTTGATAGATAGATATTTAATTGTGTAAATAAGTTTGTAATACAATAAGATAAAATATATTTATACATTTTTAGATTAATAAAATAAAATATGTTAAAACAAGTTTTTCAATTTTGCCGATTTTTATCTTAGGATATATATCAATTTACATTGTAGTCCACAATACATGCTCACGATTTTCAGCGCTTTGGACATAGTAACGAGTAACAAGAGACTTTTTCCAAGTGTATTTAAATCCGTATTCTTTAGTCTCTGATAGTTGTCCAATATAGTCATTAATTACATTCAATCTAGTACCAATATATCTGTAATTCAGAAAAAAGAAGAAGACACTAAAATAAAACACACATTGAACATTTTTATTTATGTTGCACATTAAATATAAACATGTGGAAGTTTTTCATTATTTCTTGTTTATTTCATTTAGGATCCCATTCATTTAGGAACTTTATAAAAACAACAGTACGGCACTAACTTCTGGATTATCATACTAGATTAAAGAATTGTGTCTTTTAAATAAATGCCTGTTATATTTCTTTAAATAAATACTGATTATATAGAATCCTATACAGCATACAAGTATAAAATAACTTAACTAATTTATATATATATATTTAACATTTTTTAGCATTTTTCTAATTTACAGATTTAAGAATTTATTGATTTGAATTATATTTAGACTTCTCAATAATTTAAAAATAACTGATTTTACAAACCTTATAAAAAATATAAATATTATATCCATGAGGGTATTGATGTGGAAAGGATAATGTATAATAAGAGGGATAATTATAGCCTGTATATCCTTAAACCTTTTTACGGACCAATGACTATCAATTGCCCACGTTATACAAATCATCATAAACCATCCAATCAATATCCATTTTATCGACTTTCGCATTTTACAATATTCCTTGGGTATTCCAAGCTGTTCCAAGGTATCGTCTACGAGACTGAGATTCCTCATACACATAAGAAATTTCTAAGAATAACAGCATACAAAAAATATATAATATTATAAACATCTTTTTTCGCAGATATGAAAATATATATCAATGTGTTTGATAACAAAGAAATAATTTTTAATAAAATCTCATTAAATTTTATATTAATATATGTAATATATACTAGATATATATAAAACAAATTTTATCAACTAAACATAATATTTTGATGTTTCTGATAATCCAACTGTTGAAAATATAATATAAATTTTAAAAACATAAAATTTCATTTTACACACATAAATAAAAAATAGATACTTTTATTTATATTTAATTAAATTTGACTTTACCAAATAAGTAATAGTGAAAATACAATAGTTTCTAATTTGGAGAAGTCGTGTTTCTCATGCTATTTATTCTGTTATAGATATCACACCATTGAAGTTATTATAAAACATCCATAAAGAAAAATAATGTACCTCGTGTTTGCGTACGATGATGATTACAGATATTAGGGTCGCAATCAAATTTGTCATTACTATGAAAAACATCAAAAAACCTGAAAATATACGATGTGGTGTATAAAAAGTCACCATATAGTGAAAGGCGCAGGCGTAAACACTCCACACAGTTAATATATAAAAGATGCTGAAGCAAAGTCTTGGATGATTCAAACTATGTCTAAAAATTCCACAACCAAGTAAACAAGTGACTAAATGAAAAGAATCTAAAGTCTTTTCTATACTGTCGACCATGATTGCAAACTGTCGCAATTCCATATGTTAACTATTAGATCACAAGTTGAAGATAGTATAACGTGCTAACATATATTAGTATAATAACACTTAATTAGTATCGTTAAAATATTAAACACTAACATAAAGAGGTAATCGATATTCGCACAATGTGTCAGGGTATAGCGTGCTAACATATATTAGTATAATAACACTTAATTAGATCCTTACATTAGTATCGTTAAAATATTAAACACTAACATAAAGAGGTAATCGATATTCGCACAATGTGTCAGCAATTATTTTCAGTGTCTGTACTTTCTCGGCCATCTACTTATTAGGTACAGAATGTGTCCATATAATATATTCATAAATATAATAGTCAAGAACGGAATAAGTTAGAAGCAAAGATTGTAACGCCTGTTTTATGGTAGTCATATCATACTCATCTATCAAAACGATGGAATAATAATAGAACTGCATTAGCATTATGTGTATCATTTATTTTCATAAACATATATAATGAAGTAGTTGATCGATATTGTTGGGCGATATTAGCGCCAATAATTGGCAAACAACTTGTAGCTTAAGATAGGCGTCAGTTAATATTTGACTTGACAGTAGAATTGTGATAAGTGAACAACTATCGAATAAATAATATTTTTTAGTGAATTGAAAATGATATGGAAAATTTGGTATTTTCGTAATCAGCGGATTTATTTTTTTAAATAAAATTCTTAAGAATGATGTATCTTATATTACATATATATAAATTAATCAATAAAAATGTAATTTATAAAGATTAAAAAAATGTTTATTCTCGAAACATATAGTACCAAAATAATATCAATAATAAAATAAATCAATAAATATAACAATGCAATTAATATGATAATATTAAAGTAAGGTTTATATAATTATTAACAATAATTGTGTACATACAACTAACTTTCTAATATATAATTAGAAATATACGGATATTAAATAAACTGGAAGGATACTATGTAGAAGTCTTCAAAATTATATATTTTTCTCGTTTACGCGTAACATGATGCGTTATTTCCGTTAGAAATTAAAATTCGGGATAGGGGAGAAGTATCCATTTGCACCATAAAAATCATAAGACTAAGAATTCCTATGAAAAACTGAAAATAAATATCAAATATAATTATCGCTATTTAATATTTTCTTGCATAAGTCTAACTTCTAAATTACTTCTAAATTGCATTATGCTTATATAAATATTAATAATATTACAAACTAACCTTGCCAATAAATTCGTAGCCAAAGTTAAACAAGCTCATTCCGTTGAACTTTAATGGGTGAAGTGATATTTGCAAAACAAACTGGAAAATCTGCATTGTGTAACATAAATATTATTTTAAAATTATTAATAGAAACTATTTAAAATCTAAAGATTTTAGGCTAGGAAGATTTATCTTACATCTTCGCGTGACTGGTTAAAATAGACAAGGTTTGTTAATTTATGGATCACGTCCTTGATTTTCCCCGCCTGAAATAATATAAAGTTAATTCTACGACTTTAACAATTATATCTTTATTTATATTAATTATGAATATCGAGAGTTGTGCATTTATATAAATAAATGTGCAATTGTTATGAAAAAAAAATTCTTAAGTTTCTTTTTTTATCTAGAAAAATGAGAATTTTACAATCCATCTAAAAATCATCTAAAAGCTCACCTTAGTGCTAACATTTTCGCAGATATAATTCAATGTTACGAATTTAATTAAGTATATGCTGGTCCATATGTCGGCATGAATTAAAAATATTAATTGACTTTCCCCACTATCTTTATAATTATGATTGTGGCATAATATCATACGGTATTGATAATAAAACACTCCCGTTAAAAGTACAAAATAGGATATCATCTGCAAAGTCATTTGCATTCCGAAAAAATCATTTATTTTGCGAGCTATTCCGCAAAGTTCCAAATGAAGGTGCCTAAAAAACATTATATTAATGGATAAATATATTTAAAACGTCGAAATATATAATTACTGATCTGTTCCTTCTAAAAAATACATGCGTGCAACATCTATCTAGAATTAAATACGATCGAAGCTATATAATTAGGGATATTATTTAAATATTATGTACGATTATATAGTACTCATATTGAAATAATTATTTTATCATAAATCTGAGTAAAATTAACGTTTATAGTTACATTATGTAAATTTAGAAATTTGCAATTAATTTGTAAAAAAACAGATTTTTTGGTTAAATATAAAATTGCCACAATTTAATGCAAAAGCGTGGTGTGAATAAGATTGTAACACAATAAAATATATTTATACATTTTTAAATGAATAAAATTGTCTTTTTTTTTCAAATAAGTCTTTCAATTTGGCCGATTTTTATCTTAGGATATATATCAATTTACATTGCAGTCCACAATACATGTTCGCGATTTTTAGCGCTTCGGACATAATAGCGAGTAACAAGAGATTTTTTCCAAGTACATCTCAATCCACATTCTTCAGTCTCTGATAGTTGCTCAATATAATTGTTAATTTTATCGAATCTAGTACCAATGTATCTATAATTTAGAGAAACAGAGAAACACTAGAATGAAGCGCTTATTAAACTCTTTTATTTATGTCGCATGTTATTAATTATTGTTTAATTCGCTTAATATATTATTTTGTAGAAATAACATTTTAAATATGGCATATTTACAATTTATAAATTTAAAAATTGATGAAAGTAAATTATTCAGATTTCTCAATAATGCTTATATAATTTAAGAAAAATAAACATATTTTACAAACCTTAAAAGAAATATAAACATTATACACATAAAAGTGTTGAGATGGAAAGGATAATTTATAATGGCAGGGATAATTATGACCCTTGTGTCCTGAAACTTTTCCATATCCCAAAAATAGTCAGATATCCACGTTATGCAAATTGTCATAAACCATATAATCATTATCCATTTCATCGAGTTTCGCATTTTACAATATTCCTTAGGTGTTCCAAGCTGTTCCAATGTATCGTCTACGAGACTAAGATTTTTTATACACCTAAAGAATTTCTAAGAGAATAACAGTAACAATAAAATATATAATGCTATAAATGTCTTTCGTGGTATACATGAAAATATATATATCAACGTACTTGATAATAATGTAATAATTTATAATAAAAATCTCGTCAAATATTATATCTATTTATATGATATATTTATGAGATATATACAAAACAAAATTTATTAACAAAATATAAAATTTTAGTTTTTTTAGTAATTCAATGATTGAAAGTAAAACGTATTTTAGACACAAAATTTTATTTTACATAAATAAAAAAATAGATTATTTTATTCATATCTAATTAAATGCGATTTTATCAAATATAAGTAAATTTGATTTCATCAAATAACTAATAGTAAAACTAGTTTCTAATTTGGAGAAGTCGTGTCTCGTGCTATTTATTTTACTGCAGAGATTACACCGTTAAAATTATAATGAAACATTCACAAAGAAAAAATACCTCGTGTTCTTGAACGACGATGATTACAGATATTATGGTCACAAACAAATTTGTCATTATTATAAAAAAGATCAAAAAGCCTGCAAATATACGATGCGGTGCAAAGAAATTCACCACACAATAAAAGGCGCAGGCATAAACACTCCAAACAGTTAGTATATAAAAGATGCTGAAGCGAAATCTCGTATGACCCAAGCTATCCCTAAAAATTCCAGAACCAAGGAAACAAAAGACTAAGCAAAAAGGATTTAAAGTCTTGTCTATAGTGCTGGCCATGATCACAAACTCTCACAATTTTATATGTTAACTATTAGATTCTGAATTGAAGGTAATATAGCGTGCTAATGTTACATTTATCAGCATGATAAGATGATGTTTGATTAGATCGTTGCTTTAGCATCGTTAAAATATTAAACAATAACATAGATGTATATTGTTGAGATAATCGATATTCGCACAATGCGTCAGCAATTATTTTCAGTTCTTGTACTTTCTCCGTCATTTTTTGTTAGATACAAGATATATTTATATAATACATTTATATAATATGTTATCGTTAATATATTGTAATTTTTAAGCAATGCAATTAAAATTTTTACTGTTTGCAACGGTTTTGCAATCGGACTGCATGGGGCAACAAAAATAGATAAATTTAATTGTATTCATATATAAATTTATTTTATCATTATTTTTTGTGTTACAAATAATATAAATAAGAGTTTCAAGTAAATCATGTTGGAAAAGAATATGATTATTTATTTATTATTATTAAATTTGAAAGCATTATATTTCTTGTTTATTCGTATTTTTAGCATTTCAAGAAAATCGGTTTTTTATAAATGAAATTTCTAGAACTTTATTAATAAGAAAATCTTTAAAAATGCTATTAATTATACAATTTTCAAAAAGATCATTTTGATGAGTTTTTATTAAATTATTTGTAAATTTCTTTTTTTTAGTTTAATAAGTAGCATTATTCGTCTACAATGTGACCGAATTCTTTTTTGAATCATCATATTATAATGGCGTGTTCATTTGAATTAGAATAACCACATATGTTGTAACCGTGGCAAAAAACTGAAACACAAACACATAATATAATGTTTTCTCTTTTTCTTCCTTCTCAAATTTTAGAATTACATTAAATAATTATTCTACATTTTTGTAATAAATAATTAAATCAGAAATAGTAATTCTCTAAATGGATTGTATCATTTCTATTAATTGCATAATTTAAAGAAATAGGTTAAATATACATACCTTGCCAGTGAGAGTATTATCAATTGAGAAGAAACCGGAAGCGGTAAACTTTAAGGAATTAAGCACTATTTGTTGCGTAAATTGCGTAATCTGTAACATAAAGAGACATTTGCACATATTTATTTCATTTTCTATTAAATTATATACATAAGTAAAATATTTATAGATGAAAACACAATGTTTTTATTTCTTAAACAATAAATTGTTTTATATGAACAATATTCAATATGTTTTCTTTGAAGGAAAAAAAAATCAAATTTGATTAACATGTTATCCATCGATAATGCATTAACAAGACTTACTTCTTCTCTCATATCATCGTCGGTACCGGCTCCATCAAAAGACTGCATAATTTCGCCGGTTTTATATGCCTGAAATAAATCTTAACCATATAACGAACAAATTTAGTAATATATATAAATATTACATAATTTTAATAACATATTTAACTGTACCCTGGAATCAATTCTGTGTTTATCATTCTGAATTTATTTAATTAAATTTTATTTTAATAACAAAAATAATGTACCTCCTGTGATACACCCGCACAAAGAGAGTTCACCAATATAATTTTGAGTGAGTAAATGCCTGCCCAAACTATCATGGCAACGAGTTTTTCACTGTGAAATATCACGTGAAACTGGCCGGTAAGTGCACCATACATACAGTAAAAACATACAGTTACTACTGTAAAATGAACCGCCAATTCGAGCAAAAGTTGCAGACAATAAGTATGATTAATTTGTCGTGCTATTCTCGTGACTTCTAAGTGTAAATGTCTTTGAGATAAAAATATTAATTAATTAGTAATTATTTAAATAACTCTAAGAAATTCTTTTTTAATTTGTGACAGAATTTAGCACACACTATTTTAGGTATCATATATTTTGATATAATCTATATACCTTATATATCCATTCTGAGATTTTTCAAATATATTCTGTATACATATTCTGTATACATATAATTCTGTGACAAATTATACATATAATTTTATAAGGTAAACGTAGCTATTAACATAGTGAAATATCACAAAAAGATGCATAATGTTAAAAATATTCATTTTTTAAAATAATATTAATTATTATAAGATTTTATTGAAATGTTAAAAAATTTTACTGACCGTTGAACAATAGAAAATGAGAATTATTGTTAATTTTACCTCAATGTCTGTATGAGATGCAGTATCTTCTCCTTTTGATTTTCGTAGTTTATTGTAACGATTGCAATTTGTTTATTTTCACGTTGATCTTGAATCTTAAAGATATTTGATTTATTTGCACAAAGTACTACATTGTTAATCAGAATATTTGTATTCTGGAACTTTATTTGAAGACATCTGCAATTTTACATCACACACGTTGTTTTGATATATATAATCAAAGATGTATATTTATTTACTTAATCCACTTAATTTTAAAAAAATATGTCGCTTTGTGTGATTGAAAAATAAGTTAGAAATTTAAAAAATAACTTTTAAAATAACTCTGTAATTAAACATTAATTCTCTGTAATTCTCACTATTTGATCATTAATTTAGGATATATATTGTTTGGGAAACATATTATTAATTATTATACTTGCCTGATAAGTGAAGCGAAAGTGACATCTACTACAGAATTTGTCAGAATTGGAATGCAGAAACATAAATCAGTATAAAAAATGCCCAAATATCCCATAGAAGCAATCTCTTCATACATCCATACTATATGCATGAGATTCAATAATAGCATACTCATTACCCAAAGAGCCAAAAGATATAGAATATTGCGGTGAGTTCTCTGGTAATCCCTTTTTATACCCAATACTTCTATAGTATTGTCAATTGTACTGAATCTTTTAATTATGCTATTTATATTCTTGAAACGTCAAAACTAAATTAGTAAGTTTGTTCATAGGTAATCAGTCAGGAAAGACGAGAGAGATCTTAATAGCTACCAACAAAAATTTTACAAAAATTACAAAAAAATAATTTTTTTTTTTAATATATAAAATAAATCAAAGAGTTATCTCTCTGTAATTTTTGTAAAACTTTTATTTGCTATTTGGATTGATTTTACGCAAAATATCGTTACGCATAATGTATAGACATACCTCTGCTTTAAGCCAGAACAAAATTATAGCTAAAATGGCAACTAAAATATTGATCGTTAAAACGGAATAGTATAGGACAAAGTCGTCAGACAACTTTTCCTGAAAGAGACCAATTCCCTTATAAAGCAGCACGAAGTATGCAATTATCATCGAGATAACGTAAAAGGCACTTAGTAAAAATCGTGGACGATTCACAGGTATTTCGAAGATTCCCATGCAAAATATGCAATTAAGCCATATGATAGGCATCAATGCCTGTTTTAAACTTTTCGTGCCTCTTGTCATTTTGCATTCGCCTTTTATAAATCTAAATAGACCAAATATTTATGTTAATTGTATCATTAATATATAATAAGTAAACTTACGTTTCTTTTTATTTCACGTGCAATTCAACACAATTTCTTTTGTTAAAACAATAAACCACATACACAATGAGTCTCGGAAACCAGTTACTAGAATAGACGTCAGAAAATCGCCTTGATTGCGATTAAATTATCGTAAAGAACTGAAAAAAGGTGTTATACGTATTCGATGTCTGTAAGGACTAAATTTGACTTGGACAAGGCGCTAGTCCTGCGTGTTATCGTTAATGAACTCTACACCTGGCGAGCAACTAACAGCTGATAAACGATCTCGCGTGCTATTGCGATACGTCCGAACGAACAACCTGCGTAGATCATGCAATTTCACTTATTACACGTGTCTCATGCCGGTAATGTTCATCCAACACTTTCGATTACTTGTTCCGTAATGATAGCTTACCTTTCGACCTTTCCTCACGCTACCAAGAAGTTATAAGAGTTTAACTATTAACACCCATAAATAATGCAGCCGAGGGTCACTTCACTCTTCGCGTTTTATTATAATGTAACTGCTCCCGATAAAACCTATGATTATACGCCTCTTGATCTTGATTAAAAGAAGTACAAACATTTAATATTATTTTTGGGTTATCTACATAAAATTTTTATTGATTACACCCCCGTGAAAATATAATTTAATAATAATATAATAATAAAAAACGATACGAATTGATTATGTGCAAACTATTGTAATTGACGATAGCCTTTATCTCATTTCCGAGAAAATAATTACTCAAAATATTTAAAAAAAAAATAATAATTTTATGAGAGTACACTTTTTTTCTAATACGAAATATATGCATTAATAACGTATTATAAACGCGTAGCGTTTGAACATGACTCTCAATTAAAATGAAAGTCTTAATGCGCTTTAATGTCAGATCATATCGTAGGATCTACGATAAAAGACAAACATATCATGTTTACTTGTGTAATGCGAATACACCGGTGTATATTCTCCCATAATATTTAAATTAAAATACATTTACACATACACACACACACACACACACACACACACACACACAAATAATTTTCTATATTTATAAAACCTAATATAAAACAAAATTGTTTAATTAATTACAAATATATTTATACTTAATATGTATTAATCAACATTGTGATGTTGAATGGTATAAATACATTGTACATGCTTTCATATTATCATAAATTCTTAATATATTCGTAAAAAATATGTTTTTGATTCAGAAAGTATTGTCAGTACCAATTTTTGAAGCGCTCCATTGCGCGTTTCCATTGGCTAAACGCATGCTGATAAGATGATTGCGATTCTTTGTTTGGCTTAAATATCCTATCTACTTGACGTAGCATCGATACTTCTTCTCTGCTCTTCCACAATCCTGAGATTAAACAATATATTAAAAATTATCAATTGTTAAGCATAATTAACAGATTAAATAAATACATATATTTATTGTATAACATTTAATGGTTATTAAAATCTCATATCATATCAGAGATAAAGAATAATCTCTTATCTTAATTAATAAACAATTTTATACTTTATACATTTTATAAAATCATGTAAAATAAAGAATAGAAAATAATAAAAATATGGAAATTACTTAATCTTTTATTAAATTATCTTTGTCTACTTTTAAGCAACATTGAATAAGAAATAGTACAACATTTTCAAAAGAACAAAAACTCTTTAAATTATTAGATGTATGAAAAATGTAAAATAATTTATAATAATAAATAATAAAATTGCATGATTCATACCGCATTGTAAACCAGCTAGAAATGCTACCCCTAAAATGGACATCTCAACAGATACCGGACGTTCCACTTCCAACCCCGTTAAGTCAGCCAACGATTGCATAATAAAATCATTTTTGGAAACTCCACCGTCGACTCTAAAAAACAACATATTTGCGTCAATTGATATCTTTTTATTAATACTGCAATATTGAAGTTTAATTATTGCATAAGAAGTAACAGAAATTGATTGCACAGAGAAATTAATAATCCTTTTTTTCATAATATTATTATCAGTCCTTGCGTCATTGTTAATGGTTATAAATATTGTAAACTATGAATAGTTAAGTATACATTTAGCAGTGTTATTGTGTAATATTTACTTTATTTTTTGGTATGTGAAAGAAGTTTCCTTGCACAAACATTCGTAAAGTAGCTGTATCCTAAAAACGAGACTCTCTAATAAAGATCGAATGATGTGCTCTTTTTTCGTAGTGGGCTTTACTCCTAAGAAACCAGTTGCAGCTGTATAATCATTTATAGGCGCCTGAAACAATAAAGGACGCACATATATATATGTATTTTTGAGTAATGTATTATCTTTTTAGACTGCAAGTATTCATAAAATTCAACGTTTTTTTCTTTAAGATCTTAAACAGAAAATGGAAATAAAATATCTCTTTTAAATATATAAAAATAATATTCTTTAAATATCGATTTTAAAAAGAAATTTTTAAAGCAAATTTGTATTTTATAAATATTTGCCATTGAGAAGGCAGCATATTTTTATTTTGTTTTTTATTTTCGTAAATATATATAAAAAATAAATAAAAATAAATAAGTTTTGGAAATAATTTTTCCAATTTTATTACAAATGTTTGTCTTCTTGCGTGAAAAAAAAAATAATTTTATCATATCTGGATATCTGAAAAGAAATGATTCGTTGTAGTAAATCGTGCGTACTTGTAGTCCGCTGAATGCCGGGACGAAATATACCCCATCAGTGTCATTGACTGAGTTTGCCATACCAGCTGTTTCCATAGCGTCACTCACAATTCCTACGGCAATCATATGATCGAAATTGGCATATAAAAACGAAGTATTGAATTGTTTTTAAAAATAAAATTTCTCTTTTTCTCTTTTTTTTTAACAAATTTATAAATTTAATATATCTAAAAAATTGTGGAATCTTAAATTTTTTATAAAACAATTTAAGAGTTAATGAATTACCTATTGACTTAGCCCATTCGATTAATATACCGGTGTCGCTTGAAGATCCTTCTGCAACATATATTAGTTCTTTTCCGATTCGCCATCCAACAACTGGATAAAGTCCTATAAATAATTTTGATAATTTATATCTCTGTTTAGAACATATATATATTTTTAAGTTTATTATATATATTATTTATTCGATACGATATATTCTACGATATACACGACATATCGAAAATAAAATCTGCATTAAATAAATAATATAAATTCGCGAAATTACCAGCAACTGATGCGTGTGCTTCCGCTCCCATGTTAACATTCACAAAAGTACCTGTCCCCATAGTAACTTTAAGATCACTAGTCTTGAAGCATCCTGAACCAAATAAGGATGCTGCTTGATCGGCCATCTAATTTTAATTGATTATTATTAGAAATAGAAACGTTCGTTAATTCTAAAATCAACTCTTATAAAGTCTCGTATATAATACAATATATGTTGCGTGGGTAATTATAATTGTTGTGTAATTAATTGTCAAATTAAACGTCAGTTTGTTTATATCAAAATATTTTGTAACTCCATCACTTACTGAGCAATAAATGGGAATTTCAGCCCCGAACACGCTTTCGGGTATAGTTCCAAAGTTGCCCACTGTATCGACTACTTCAGGAAGAATATTGCGTGGTAATTTTAAAATATTTAACACCCAATTAGCCCATTCCATTGTAAATGGGTCGAATATACCAGTGGCTGAGGCACATGAAACATCCATTACATGCTTTCCTGCAACGAATGAAAAATATGGCTATTAACCAGTACAATATAGCAAATAATTATTACTACACATATCGTGATAAAATGTTAACAGATATATAAAGGAATTTCATATACATTTAGCAATATTATGGATATTTTAAATAAATATAAATGAAAGTAAAAAGTAAAATATATTTAATTAAAAATTGTTTTACCTGTTAATTTGTATAAAAGCCAGCAATCTATGCCTCCAAATGCCGCTTCTCCGTTAGATGCTGCTTCTCGAAAACCTGGTATATTTTGGAGAACCCATACTAATTTCAAGGTAACCTGCGAACAAAGTCGAGATTAAGCTCCTGAAGGGAATATTAGCCAAGGGAACAATAGTTGACAGAGAAAGCTAGAAAGCTCCGTAAAGCTTTATAAAGCGAAGCTGTGCTCTAATGACGATTTATTTTTGACGAGAGAAAGACGATTTAGAAATCATTGAAATGATGTTAAAACACCCATTAATGGTATAAATATTTATATATAATTGATAGTATAAAATATAAATAGAGTAAAACATTTCAACCTGCATATTCATAAACTTAAACACGCTACCGGCCATAAAGCGTTTGCTTTTCGTAAGAGTGTACAAAATACGAGAGGCTGTTCGCAATCCTGCCATCGTCATCGACTGATTCCATTCATCGACCAGAGAAGCCGCACGTTGATCCTTCCATGTTATAAATCTGAAACGACAATATTACACGATCGTGAAACCTTATTCTAACCGAAATACTTTCGTCATCTTTGTTGCTCTCACCTGTGATAGTGCCTCCCAGTCTTCAAATCCCAGGTAATAAAGCTGGCTCGTTGCGACGAGATTCCAAAGCAAACGATGGACTTTGGATCGATCTCGCTGTCTGTAATCATAAATGGAACAAATTGGTCTAAACTCGAGATGAGTTACAAACATAAAATACACGAACGACAAACTGAACATAAAAAAAGATATCAATCGATTATAAGCGGCAAAATTCCTGAAATTAAAAATATCTATGCTTCTTCTTTTCTTAATATCTATTTTTAAACTTCTCTTTGTGAAGAAAAATAACAAATTCAAGATGATCTGGATGATACATATTTATACGTGATATATAATTAAATGGTAAACCGTAAGTATTTTTGTTGCTAAAAAAAGAAGAGAGCATTCTGCCACTCATAAAATCAGTTTAATATATAAAGCAAATAATGTTTTATATTTAATCAAATTGGGTGCTTCATAAGGCCTGAAAATACGATTTAATTGGCGAAATAATATATAAACAATAAGCATCGGGAGTCGCAAGCAGAATGTGTGATTGCTTACTTTCGATGCGTCCGATTGCTGTCACCTCGGTTTACGATGGACATTTCTAGAACAGATTAAAATACAGAAATGAGGTTTGACACACATTTAATGGGTAGCCAAAGATTCAATTCAAGCCGATGCTGATCTTTTGATGCGGAAAAATTAATCAAATTTTTCAATAAATAATTTATTTATTAAAATAAAGCCAATTAGAGCCGATATACAAAATAAAAATAAATTAGTACATTATCATCAGTACGTCACATTTTTTAATGTTATCAATTATTTATTCATCAAAGTAATTAATAAATTAAGATCCAACGCGACTTAAACTGGAGCTTTAAATGTCTACTGAAAATGCGTGAAACCAAAATTTTCTGCGTTTATCCATTCCAGATTACGGAGAAGATTCGCATGCTTTGCACACAATAATGTTTAACTTCTGTATATTTGTCCTCTCTTATCATTATAATTCTTATCGCGCAGAATTATAGATATCGCAAAATGCAGAACGTGTACATATATTTAAGGATCGTATGAACTCTGCCTATCACCATTAAAATGATTGAGAAACAATTAAATATTTGATTGATATTTTACGATTAGAAAAACATTTTAATAACTTACTTTTCAATGTATCCTTGATTACTTTTACTATAATCTCCCATAAATGATCCGGATCTATCTCCACAAATCCAGGCTCTGGATAAATCAGTTTTATCTAAATTAAAAAAAAAATAAAGTACATTATTATTTTTATTCGTATTCCGTACCTTCTTTGTAATCACTAACATGTACAATTTCGATAATTTTGGAATTACAATGCGTTTTCACACTCGAATTTTTGGGTCTACTTCATATTTTTTAACAAATACTCTTTACACACGATTTATTTTCCGTTAAAACGGTAGAAATGATATGATTTCGCATAATAAATAGGCAATACATTATCTTTCGTATCGCATAATAAATAGGCAACACTTTTTTCTTGTTTTGAAAGAGAATATGCGTTGCGGGAAATATTTTTAGATAAATTTCTAGATAAAATAAAAATTATTGTACTTCAAGGAGCTATATCTTCAGAACTAAAATTGACTCTCATATAATTTAGGATTTATGTAACTCTATGATATACATGAAAATTAAAATAATCTATAAAACATAAATTTTATAAATAATTTCATTATTAATTTTTAGTTTTTGGATTATAATATACGCGACTTAAACTGGAGCTTTAAATGTCTACTGAAAATGCGTGAAACCAAAATTTTCTGCGTTTATCCATTCCAGATTACGGAGAAGATTCGCATGCTTTGCACACAATAATGTTTAACTTCTGTATATTTGTCCTCTCTTATCATTATAATTCTTATCGCGCAGAATTATAGATATCGCAAAATGCAGAACGTGTACATATATTTAAGGATCGTATGAACTCTGCCTATCACCATTAAAATGATTGAGAAACAATTAAATATTTGATTGATATTTTACGATTAGAAAAACATTTTAATAACTTACTTTTCAATGTATCCTTGATTACTTTTACTATAATCTCCCATAAATGATCCGGATCTATCTCCACAAATCCAGGCTCTGGATAAATCAGTTTTATCTAAATTAAAAAAAAAATAAAGTACATTATTATTTTTATTCGTATTCCGTACCTTCTTTGTAATCACTAACATGTACAATTTCGATAATTTTGGAATTACAATGCGTTTTCACACTCGAATTTTTGGGTCTACTTCATATTTTCTAACAAATACTCTTTACACACGATTTATGTTCCGTTAAAACGGTAGAAATGATATGATTTCGTGTCGCATAATAAATAGGCAATACATTATCTTTCGTATCGCATAATAAATAGGCAACACTTTTTCCTTGTTTTGAAAGAGAATATGCGTTGCGGGAAATATTTTTAGATAAATTTCTAGATAAAATAAAAATTATTGTACTTCAAGGAGCTATATCTTCAGAACTAAAATTGACTCTCATATAATTTAGGATTTATGTAACTCTATGATATACATGAAAATTAAAATAATCTATAAAACATAAATTTTATAAATAATTTCATTATTAATATTATATAAAATTCTGAAAAGTTTCATAAAATTTAAAAAATGGAAAAAACCGGAACAAATGTTTTTTTTTTCAATGCAATGGATATGTGGACAAAAGGACAATTATTGCGAATAACATGAATATTGCATGGAACATATTGATAACGATAACAAATACATAGGAAAAATAATGGAAAAAAATATTTTTATCATTAAATTTAAATTAAATTCTGTAATGGAAAAATTCAAGGCCAGATAATATTGATAAATTTTTTTCAATAACATACACATATATGTAGACATAAAACGTTTAGAATTTACTTATGATAAATAGCTATTGGAATAAATAGCTCGGTTAAACTCTTTTTGTTTAATCTTCTCTTGTGTATTATGTAAAAACAGCTTTATTAAATATGTATTTTTCTTAAACTTAATCAATTTGTTGTCATACAACATGTTTATATATTACATATTCAGTATACGCAAGATCCTTTTTTAAACAGTTCTTAAATATTTGTACTCAATTTCAAAAATCCGCTTCAATGCTAGTGGCAAAAAGACATTAATCAAAGATATTAAGTATGCAAGCAGTTTTATAATAAAAATAATTCTGTTTTTTCTGATCTCCTTATAAATACTAAATATAATTTACTAATTATATTATTAAAGCAATAATAATATTGAATAAAATGAATAATAATATTAAATTAACATTAATTAATATTTTTGACGAGCGTAAAATATTGGAGCGCATTTTTCTCCATTTTTTAATAATAAAAAAATGTAAATATATCTATTTTTTCAAATTTCAAATTAAATAGTTATGATTCAAGATTGTAGAGAAATTCTACACATATGCGAAATATAAAATAAGCCATTGTCATACGACTTTTGCGTCGTCATAGCTAAATTGATGTTCAGCGCTTATAAGTATGCACGACGGATACAGTCTGCCGTGTAAAGTGTCCTAGTAACTTATTTCTGAGTTTATTAATCCACGAGCTGGGAAGCACACCTTCACGTTAACTTGACTACCTTGACTTCAAGGTGTTCTATAGACAGCTCTCTGATCTCGGCTATTTCTTTCCGTTTCTTATTATATTCGCAAAATTGATTAATTTTTCCTACGCTTTTAGAAAAATTATAGTCAGCTTGTTACAGAAAAGATGTACAATAGCGTCTTTCATAGATGTGCACTCAGATGATGCAAGATATTATTAAATTTCTTAATCAGAAAAGTAAGCAATTAACAAGATTAAATTTAGAATTCTATCTTTCAGTTTTTGACAGGAAATGCACATGCAAATTCTATTCTCTTATTATTTATATTGACTATGATATTATTCATTATAGTATTCTATTATTATTTATATACTAATATAACTGCAAAAAAAATTCTTTGCAAAAGCCATTTCTCTCATCATCTGTTTCGTAATTTCTTGTTTAAAAAATAAAAATGCATAATCCTTTGAAAAATTTGTTATTAACTTACTTAATAATATGTGCATAAATATTAACCGAAATATCAAAGACTATTGTAGTATTATAAAGATACAAGTCCAAGGACTCTGGATTCTCTCTTTGTATATGCAAATTTCATAGCAATCATTAATCACAGCCTTTAATGAAGCTACCAACGTTGATTTACATAATATTTTATTATGCGCAATATAAAACACGAATCACAATAAATAAATATTTTTCATAAAAGACTGTCATTATAGCGAATTACAGTAAATGTTTTTTTGTTTTGTCGTAATTTTGACATTTTTATCTATTTGATTCGAGATTGATCCTTTTAATTAGCTGAAAAAAAAATAATTAGTTTCTTATGATTTATCTAAATTTATCAAATAATAAACTTATTTCGAGATATTTCATCGAGTATGCCTTCCATAAATCTAAAGTGTAAAATATTATCTAATCGTTTATATTTTTCTACATCAGGTATTAAAGTCTACCCGATTGATATCAGCTATTAAAGATCAGATAAGCCGACTCATGCATATCGTTATTTATCGATATTTTAAAAATATGCAGCAATGTCTTTACGACTTCTATTCTATCTTATCATATCTTATTAATGCTTGGTATGTCGTTAATTTAGTATTTGCTCCGTCTTATGAATCTTTTCAGTAGCATCACTAAAACAATAAAAATATCCCTCTTTTAACAATTTCCACTCTCTCCCGCGCATAAATAATTGTTTTTTTTTAAGTATATTATATATTGCAGAAAAGAATTTTGTGTATGACATTGCAATTTTTTCGATAACAGCATCTTAATTTTTTTTCTTACATCTCACAATCTTTGACAAGATTTAAAAAAAAAAAATTAAAATTGGAAGAAAATGGCAATCAGAACCAGACGCGGTAGTTGGAACGCAAACAGTTTTTTATTATGTAACATTCTCTACATTTAGACGTTTCGGCTTCTTTTTTAGGCCATCTTCAGCATAAATTAACTTATTACATAGGTTTACGGTCGCATTGGTTTAGTTAAAAAGAAAAAGTTTTATGCATTACTGTAATCATTTTCAATTTTAATTATAATATCATACTGAATTTTGTATCTTCCGCTTGCTCGCAGATTTAAATTGACATTTGCAAGCGATCTTTAAAAAACATAAAAATTAAATCGCGACGAACCTTCTCCGCCGAGGAAGCTACCGTGACCGCTTTCTCGTCCAGAATGTGGAAGCGTACCGTGGTGGTGCCGACGTCGAGCGCCGCGATGTACTTCATGGTACTAATTTGTCCTTTCTTCCAGCGAATTTGAAAATTTCGGCGCCGATTCACACACGCACTCACACCTCTTGATTCGTTATCAAATCCAATTTGAAATACCGAACGTTAGATCGCGATGTCCGGCACCGACTGGTATCGATTAATACCAGCTGTGTTCTTTCTACCTTGAATTTAATAACAGACAGCAAGGGAAAAAAGAAGGAATGCACTTGGACTCGCAATGGCAAAAAATTGATGCTACTTGAGCACGCTAGCTTATCGTAACACAACTGTCCTTGGATGCGTAATACATCACGCATGCTCTAGCAAGAGGTCTTTATCGAGACTTCACCGCGCGTCACATAATGAAGCGATGAACTCCCGACAATTTCGCCGGCAACGAGTGGGGCGTGGAGCATATTATCGAAGCGTACGCCGTATCAGTTGGGCCTACGTCTTGCCGATTATGGCTGAAACACACCGTTAAAAGATCATCCGGAAAGATTCATCTGCGTTGATTATCAATTTCTCCTACAATGCGGTCTGATCATTAAAAGCCGCGACTACTCCGATCATAACTATCGCGATTGCAATCGATTTTACTTGGAATTTTTTACGGTGAAAGCCGCTTTTATATGACACTGTTTGTGTAAAATTTTATTTTATAAAGATATAACTAAATAATAATTTTATCTAATCATTAACCTAGATTTTGGATTCGGTGCGAGCATAATTATCATCTAGTCATAGCTCAGATGTAATGCCTTTTTATATAATATTTTTTGAGTAATAAAGATATTTAATATCAAATATTTTTAAAAAATCTGCTTTAAATTAGAAGAATTTCAAGAAAGAGAGCATAAAACATCTTATGCAACAGTAGTTATTATGTTCTTCAGTATCTATAAAATAAGATCAGTTTATTTTGTCATTTAAATACTAGATTATATATAGAACTTTAGACTAGAACTTTAATACTCGCATGACGTTTGTCATACACACGAGAGATATGATGTGACAGATGTCATATATATATAAATGCTGTCTGCAATGACGTAACACGCTTGCTAATTAGTGTTATTGTGTGCGTGCACAAGGTTGAAATAATTTTAAAAATTCCGTTTACATGTAAATGGATATTATTTCAAAATTTAACACTATATTTAATTAGTCACCCAGCGCTATTATTTGAATATGATAAGAGATAATAAGTGATAATGTAAAATTATTATTTCATCATTCAAACATAAATTATAAAATCTTAATTAAAAATATTTATTTAACATGTCATTTCTTGTTACGTTACTGAAGATTAAATCGCGTGCATACGCCTCTTTTGTAGCAACCCAATTGACAAAGAACGACGTATATTAATCGTAATTTAGGCGTGCTTTGAATACTGTTGTCATTGTCTTTATAAAATGTCTTACACTGTGAAATTAACTATTTTGAACTTTTAATATTTTATTATATTTTCTCTCGTTCAATAGATCCACCCTTAAAAAAGATGTGTGTTAAATTAATATTCTAATGTATCAAGACTTCCAAAAGTCTCGAAATTTATTTTTGCTTTCTTTCCGTATTATCACATAATTTTATTTGAATTTAAAAATACGCTATTAAAATATATTTTAATTTATAAGAATTTGCGGCGAGGAAAAGTAACTTTATAATCCACATGATTTCTTTCAAAATGACGTGTCAAATCTAAAAAACAGTATTGGAATTCATCCAAAAAAATTTGACTCTTGCTTTATATATCATTAATCTATTTCATAATGACAACATTTTTTTCAAATTTTCTACCTCGAAACAAAATTTACAAATCTAAGAGTGCCTTCAAAATTTTTACAATTGCTTGAATATATTTTGGGTTTGCTCGAGATATATTTGCTACTTTATTATTTTCTAGTTAAAAACTTTATGTCATTTTTGTATCACTTCTCACTGTTTTATTTGCAGTTTACAATATCTAGTTCAATTTTGATAAAAAAAACATAAAACAGCTGTTTTTAGAAATCAATTTTATCGCTATAAATACAATATATTGCAACATAACTTAAAACAATTTGTATTTTATAAAGATTTAATTACATTCTTCCTTTCTATAAGATTTTAAAGGCTTTATGACATATGAGAATTTTTATCATCATTATCAGGCAACATAACGTGTAAATATTTTTCTTGATTGTCGTGATGTGTTTTGCTGCAATATACATCGTCAAATATGAAGAACACAGTCATAAATATTGACACACCAGCAAAGATAATCCACATAATCATCTCTAATATAATCTATAAAAAGATTATAAATTAATTAAATAAATTTAAAATGTTGATATACATATAGATAAATAATAAATAAAAATATTTACAAAATTAAAAAAAAAACGAAGTAGAAATTCCTTTTATATTTTTTAATATTTCCGTAATATTTAATAATTATTAAACCTTACTTCAATAATCGCTTTTAAGATTGCTATTATATGATGCCTTACGGAGATCCATTTCCAAACCATGAATGGCAGTAACACAAGAAGCAATAATAAATCGAGTACATGTATGACAATTACAGAGACAATTTTGCTTATATCAAGCATACTCTGTACCTTTCTATGCATGCTAATATTATAAAACAAACATTATACAAGATAAGACATAAATTAATTATATTGAATTAATCATAATATTTTAAATATAAATAATCTTTTACTATTTAAATATAGTAATGAACATTTATAATTATATTTACATTTGACATAAGTATAAAATGTAATTTAGAACGTTAAAAGATAACAAAATGAAAAGACTCACGCGATTATGAATTTTTTAATCGTACAGTTTTTAAATAAATTATCTTCCACTTCGTATTTTTATGCTTAATATGCGTTCGCCTCTTGAATTTATATAATCTTAAATTTTGTAAGATACTGCGGTCTCTTGAATCCTAGCCTATATTGTGTCAAATAATGATCGAGAAATTGGACGTGATAATTCACAGCATTTTTGTCTTTAAAATCGCATAATTGCTTTTCACCAACTTTTTAATTTTGAGGGCTAAGCAAATATTATCAAGCGAATATTATAACACGTGCGATTTGTTGTCCATTTATTACACAACTGTCAAATGCTGTCAAACATTGTACAAATTTATTAGCAATGGCTGAACATCAAAATTTATAATTTTGCATGATTCTAATTTTGACGTTAATAGATATTTTTTGGCAAATATATAACTTATTTTTTTCTAATCAAATATAAAACAATCTAATTATTTTAATTCTTATAATCGCGTAAATAAACATCATTTAAATCAAAGAACAAAATCATAGTTCCAACCACATGTTTAGATGCGAAATGTATTAATTGCAAAATTCGTTTTTTAAAAAATATGTGCCATCTTATTATTCTAACAATGGATAACAATTTGTAATTAAAGCGACTATTTAAGTATAGTTGATGATATATAAGCTTAACAATACATAAAGCTAAATCTAAATTTTTTTGAAAAATTAATATGTAGATTTTGTAATAAAAATATTTTATATAAAGACACACTGTCTTGCATTATATCTAGGAAATCTAGTGCAAGTCTAGCTTAACTTCTACAAAATAAAGAACATGTCATGTTTATATTCTCCTGGGTAAAATCAATAGGCTATTTATCAATGATTGCAAGGTTGATGAATCGCGTGCCAATGATTTCTGTGCGCTGCGTTTCTTGGGTGCTTCCGTCTTTCTCTGGCGGCTACTTGTTGTCTGTAGACAAATAGAGGCCTAAAGACCTTCGCGTCCTGTGCTTCCATATCCTCTGCTTCGCTGACGATCTTTTCTTCGACTTTGTTCTCCGATCCCGTGCGAACGGATCTCCTTACTCTTAATCTTACGACGTTTTCGCGTTGTGACCCCAATATGGCAGGCCGACGACCTGCGCTTGGAAACGGTAGTTTTTCGATAAAGCCATTGGTCTCCATATTATTCTTCGGTATCCCGTAGGCCTCCACCTGCAAAAATACAACATTTGTCAGAGATGACGTTTGTCATAGATGACGTTTGTTAGACATAATACACACACACAACGTGATATGATTTTTTGTATAATTTCCTTGTAAAATATAGATAGATTTTCAAATTGATTTAAATTAATATGTATTTTTACTATAATAACATAATAAAATAATTACTAAAATTATATTTATTCAGCTATTTTTCTGATTTTTATTACGTATTATACATTAAAGTTAATATAGTTCTTAAACATATTTAATATTTTGTTGTTTTTAAGACAATATCCTAAGAAATAGTAATATTAAGGAAAACTCGGGAGAATTTAAATTATGTATTCAGAAATATATGTTACATTGATCAATTAAAGATAATATTCACCAATCGGCCATTTTTTGAGGCATCATCGATCTCATCTTCTCCAAGATTCACTCTCTTGATAATACCATTATCTTGTAAGCTTTTTCTCGGCAAGCCATATGCGCGAATACCAGGTTTATCTTCCTCGTCGGATCCCGAATGAATTCTTTGCACCTTACCGTTTAATTCAGTTTGACTGCGAATCTGCAAGCGCTTAATGCTCCTGCTATTATCCCGAGATTTGTGTGATTGTGCGCAATCAGGTTCGTCGATTGTTCGAACGGTGGAATCTGACAAAACATTTGTGCTCTGTCCAACTCGAGCCGTGCTCAAACTCAGCAAGACAGTTAGTAAAAATAACTGAAAAATAAATTAATAATAATATTTACATAATATCAATTATAATTAGTTTCAACTATTTAAGAAGATGTTAAATTTAACAATGCTTTTATCTTTAAATATAGATATTATGACATTATTTCTACAAAAATAAATTTTAATGGAAGAAAAAGAATAAATAAAAATTTTGATGCATTTATAAACTAGTATGGTATATTAAATTAAAGAGGTTGTTATGTATTTAGATTCTTGATAATAATTTCTACCATATGACGGAACATATAAATGTTTTCTTTTGTTATCTTTTGTGGTCTGCCATGATAATCTTAATCATGCCTTAGTAAAAACGCGGAAGATTACGCGTTTTTTATGCGTCCCAATGGCATTTACTTAATTGGAATAAAATGTCGTGTCCGCAGTTTCACGAGAAGCCTTTTAACGAGATTCAATGATAACCTGTTTGCTCGATGTTTCAGCGTCATACAATAATAATAAAATGATATTTCATCAATGTTTATGATTTCTGCTTTTACTGATAATTCGCAAAATACTCAACGTTTCTCAACATTATGCATTTTATACTTCAAAAACTTATTAATTAAAGTAAATTTTAAAGAACGCTTAAAATCTTTATGTAAGCAAACGGAAAATTTTAATCAAGATTTAATAAAAAATATAGACACATAATTAATGAAAAAATAATTAAAATTAAAAGCAAGATTTTAATATCACAACAAAATTAACATAATTAATATGCTATATTTTTGACAGAAAACATATTATATTTATATTGTAGATTAATCTTATCTTTTAACATAATAATTCGATTTAAATTAAATCTTTTCTATTAATGTAAGCATAAAGAATCAAATAAATGTTATAATAATGATTACAACTTTTGATACAATATATTTTAAACTATAAAATGTTCCGAATAACATCCAATCAAGAAAATTTTTAAAAAGTGGTGAAAAATAGAGCTTAATACAAGAAAATTAATTATATAGTAGATACATAAATAATATCAATTTTTATTCTTACCGTCAACATCAATCTCATCGTGTAGTCTTCTTTTCTCCTGTCGTGGATATCCTGTTTGCGATACACTTCCTAGCTCCTGCTCGGACTCTTAAGCGACGTTTGAGGGAGAAGATCGACCGCGCATCGGTTATATACGCAAAGCGGTCTACAATCTCAAAGAACGCGTACAATTAAGCTACTCTCATACATGAGTCTGTGATATGCAGATTCATTGTGGAGCGAGAGCGCGGTCTAATTCCTGGTAAAGATGCCGTTGCTCCGGGACTGCAATGAATCATCTTTGTAAACGAACCGTACGAATGGGTTAAGAAACTTGAAAAATCGCAATACTTCTTTTATTCTGAGATGGACATAGGTGAAAGCCCTCAATAAAAAAAAGACATGTCGGAGGAAACAGACTTTCGGCTGCTCTTCATTCTGTGAAAGGTCTGGAAATATCTGTAGTTATCTTACGAAAATTATATTAATAAAGATTAATAAAATAAATTAGAGACTATATTTCAGATTAATTTGTGATGATAAATAAATTGAATATAAAACTTTTACAAATAAGTTATATATGAGCAATATATAATATATAATAATATCATAATTAAATATTATAAAAAAAGTAATAATTATATATATAGAGAGAGAGAGCTCCCCTCCCCTAAAAGGGGGATTTTAATTTGTCATGTTGCGATAATTCTGAGATACCAAAACTATTTCTGATCTTAGCATAAACGAAGAATAATTAATATATCCGTCCTTGCTAGTTGACAGTGAATTGTGCAGGTGTTAAACGTCTATTTAATGATCGCTAAACATTCGCTAAACATACGACTCACACATGTCGCACACGCCAGCGGCTTTCCCGTTCTCCTAATGTCGATGATTCGTGACAGTGTTTCTCAAAGTTTGAAGGTAATTTTGTCATACATAGATACGGAAGTAATACTAGCAAGGTATAAAAATAATGAAATAATTATATTTTTTTCTATCTCCTTTTCTCTCTCTTCAGCAAATTATGCTGCGCATGAAATTTTATGTTTTATGAATTTTAATTGAAGAAAGAGTTATAGCAAAAAACACATTTTTTTCACACGAATCCGGAGTCTCGAAGGTTTCGGAGCATCATGGAAAGTTAGACAACCGTTATCTTACGTCGTATGAATGAATAGATGACTGGAAGAACTAGTGACTGTTTCCTCTAAGGATATTAACGATGACACGTTTACTACGGATTGCAATAATTTTTGCCATCGTATTCTCAGTAAGAACGCTAATGATCGTTCATCGAATTATTCGTTTAACGAGAGCGACTTGTTTAACTAATATTCGCAATTTCATTACCGTCTAACGTCAGAAATTTGTAGATTGTACTGTATACAAGATCTTTCTATTGTATAAACACGAATGAATGCTAAACAAATCATTATTAAATGGAGAAATGAATAGTGTTCAAATAACGATATTTCTAGCTCTCTCACTATAATATGCAAGTAGAATATACAATAATTAATTACATTAATTATTGCAGTGAACGTTATTGCGGAAAATACAGATGCAATAATATAATAACTCGCTATCACTAACACAAAATAAATATTTTATTTCTATACGGAGAATTAATACTGTAATAATTACTCTATATTTTAGAAGATGTTATTTAACAATTTGATATTTATGCTGATAAATTTCTGAGAATAAATTAAAAAAGCATTTTGAAGCTTAAAGTTTCAACTTTAACGCGCTTTCGATAGTTTCTTTAAAATTTTTTTTTATCTTCTTTGTTCTGTGCTTTAAAAAAGAACACATTGTTTTGTTCCTCAAAATTAGCATTTTTGATATTTTGCAGCTCAACAAAAAAATTTTTTTATCACACAAAAAATAATGTGAGCAAAGCTGGCGTATCATTTCGTAAAAACTGATAAATAATAATTAATAATTAAAATAATAGAATAGATGAAGTATACGAATTGTGTGCACGTAATGCGCGTTTTGTGTATATATATATATATATACTAGTTTAATTAAAATATATTATATAACGTCATTGCATATACTACAAATATTGATAATAATCATTTACCAGTTCAAATATTAATTGAGTATATTTTATTATTTTTAAACCAAGAAAATCGGTTTAATAATCTGAAAATTGACATAAATGATATATTTAATAATTCCTAGTTTTACATAGCATAACTTACGTAGCTTAACTTGATAATGTTAATATTATAACAAAATATTTATAACAATAAGCGTATTATATAATATCAGATATCAAAAATATCATAATATTTATTAAGAATATTAATACGCTAATAATAATCGTTCGAATATCGAGATCTATATCGATGGTTGCGTCTCGGATAAGAATCATAGGAATTATATCTTCGATAAGTCGATCTTCTATAAGATCTCTGCTGCGCCTCCTGTCGGTATCTAAAAAGCGGTCTGAAAACGATATCTGCAGCGGTATCCATGTCATATGGATCTTTAGGATAATTAGTATCCTCATCCGAGGTCCAAAAGAGAGGTGTTGCAATATCAATACTAGGCATTGCGATTGGTAACGGATTTTCATTTTTATGTTCGATCTTTATTGTAGTCGGATCATATAGTGAAGATACTTGCATCTAGATGAGAACATATCTTTTAATTTTCTTTCAAATTTTTATTTTTCTATTTTTAAATGATAACTAATGTAACAAATTTTGCAAATGATAATTAATTGGATAATAACAGTTACGTTTTATCGAAATTCTGAAATGTCATTTAACGAAGAACCGCAAATATTTTAGTATATGTTGGTGATATAATTTTAAATTTTATTTTATGCAACGTGTTATATTTTCTAACTGATATTAATATAAAATATAATATATATGCTATATTTATTTATCATACTTGAATTTATAATTATTTTAGAAAAATGGTTTAATAAAAAAATCATTACACATACATAAAGTTATTATTTTTTTATAGTTTTTTGCCCGCTTCCAAATTTTGTATTAAAAAAAAAAATAAAACAGAAACACTTTATAAAAAATATTTTCTTGAAGATAGCGGAAAACGATTTACCTTTGAATGGGAAGAAGTAAGTCGCCAGTTATTGGGATCCACGCTCCACGAGTTTCCATCGATGTAATCTTGAACGTTCCGTTGAATTTCGTCGCGTCCCTTCTCCAATTGGTTCTTCAAGGCATCATCTTTTGATAATGTTGTCACGATTGGCACATCAATTCTATCATCAGAGATCTTTGCGGGATCGAGAAATGCTATGATCGGCACCGATATCGTGGGCGATGAATGCTCCGGAAGCGTTATTTCCTGAATCGGATTTACTATGAGATATGGAATTTCTTGCGGTATTTTATCGATAGGAAACATTGGCTTCCGCGTAGTCTTAGAAATCTCCGTTAATGCTTCGTAGAAATCACCAGGCTGCGATGGATGGAACGAATTATTTTCATTTATCTGGAAAATTAAATTTTCGGCAATGTTGCGAGTGATCGCAGACGCTTTGATGGCTTACTCGTAAATCCCTTAAAACACAATAACAAATTTGCTACGTCGAATCAAAATGGTTATATGTATACGTCGTACGAAAGGAAAATAAATTGCATGTCTCACACAAAATATAATGCCAAGAATTTTAAAAATTATCATGTTTTTGGAACCTCTTGCATTATATTAAACTTGATTAACTATAATGTTAAGCACAAGGTATAATAAGCAAATTCTTTGTTTGTCTTGAAATTTACTACATACCATACTATTTGAAAATAATGAATCAATTATGAAAAAAAAATATATTAAATATTAAAAAATTTTCAAAATACTAAAAGAGAGAAAGAGATTAGAAAAAATGAAGTAAAATTAGCACCAAATAATGCATCAATAAATTCGCGCATTTGAATATTAATATTGCATCCTTTCATATTTTACCGAGTTTTCATATTCAACTTCATCGTTCTTGGTAAAGGATTGGATATCTGTAAATGTCAAGTCATCCACATCTGTTCCCGCATTTGCAGTCTCTGTTATATTTTTCCGCACATCTTCTAAATGCATCATGGGAACGACGAGAACCTGTTCGCGTTGCGACATCACCTTAAAAAAAGAAATAATATGGCAACTTATTTTCTAGCAGCGACGACGAGTAATTTGATTATATTTTATATACTAAATTTATTTTATTCTCTTTCTTTTTCTCTCTAAACAAATATCATCTAATTCTATACCAAAACAATTTGACGCAGTAATAATTAATATTGCGACAGAATAATTAGGTATTTCTTCGGATAGTTAATTAGCAACATTTCCGAATTGCTGTTACATAAATGATTAATCATACTTTAAATTATTCTGTCATCGTTAATGAAAACTAACAATCCTAATCAACCAAATAATTAACGAACTAATTGCTAACAGCAGTATTTAGTTATTCTTAGACATGGTTTTCCCCTCAATGAAAAGATGAAAATATTAGATTAATATGTATTAATATTATATTAATTACATTTTTTAATTGCATTTCTGAAAAGTTATATATAGGATGTTTTTATACGGACCTTATTGGGTTCAGTGGCGGGCATAACAAAGACCTTCTTTTTCACTACCAAGCCTTCCAAGGATCCATTGCCGACCGCGTCTTGCACAGCATCCTGTACCACCGGATCCTGCACAATGGCAGCCAACGTATCGTTCGTAGTTTGAGGTTCCGTCGGCAATAAATTCGCCACGTCTTCATAATCCACAGGTTTCGCGTTCAATGTTCCAACAAACAATAGCAGGATAGTGGAAAATATGACACCTCCCATCTAGAAAAAAGCCCTCAATTTGTTAGATAAACGCTGTTTAGAACCTTGATCTTCTAACGTATAACTCGAGTGTAATTAAAAAAAAAAAAAAAACACATTATGCTTATCAAAATTCAAATAGATTTTACTTTCTTAAGCTTTTAATTTAATAATATAAATATAATTATCAAGATATTTAATACAAAATATTAAAAAAGTTAATCTCTCTGTGAAATATTTTTTGATATATCATTAAAATTAATTAAATATGTGTGTGTATATATTTCATGATATATATATTTACATTAATTTAAATATATTGCTTTAGATTGAAAAGAGCGACTAAATTGCTTTAAAATTCAGTAAGTTATATTTCTCATGTTTCTTGTGATTTTATGACTCATTTTTCTGAAATAGAAAACTTCGTATTGATTGTCTCTGACGTTTAACAGAAATATACATGTTCTATGTACATTTATATATATTGTGTTAATTGCTTCGTGAAAATTGGACTTTTCTAACGCCATGATTGATGTAAGAACGTACCAGCAAACCGTCTTTCATCGCGATGATGAAATTGTGCGACGTTTCTCTTGCTGCTTCGATGAGTCTGCCTCGCCAAGGATTTTCCAGCTCTGTCAAGGTATAACGGATCGTACTGGCTTTATACGACGTGCAGAAATAATTATCGACACCCCGCTAATAAACGTGAGTATCAACCTTGCGATAAACTGATACCTTCGTCGGATGCTGTATCATAAAAAAGATTATTAATCGATTATGCATCAGTGAATAATTTCGCCAGTGAGTTATAAACTTGTATTTTTTCTATATATTCTCCTTTCGTATAAAATGACTATCTATTTTGGTTGATATACAATATAATTTCTTATATTTTATCGATTAAAATTAATGGAAAAGCCTGCACAGAAAAAAAATTAGACATTTATTTTATTTATTTTGTCACAAGTAATTTCTTATATTTGTAAGTGTTTTTTCTTTTCAAAACTCAAAAGACTGAAAATATACAAATACGAGAATGTATATTGCGATGCTTCGGCAACTGCCGAGCGAACAAATGTTTTACTTATCGTTAGCGCATTCCTAACGATGTCTCCGAGACCCGGTGGTGTTTAGCGAGCGGCTTAGCAAAACGAGTCCCGGATAACGAGCTATAAAAGACTCGTTTCAACTTCCTGAATCGCTAGTCTGCGACGAGGAATTATACTCTTTACACTATTCGGGAAATCTGGGGACAGAATGACACGTCTCAGCATCTTCTACTTCAGTCTCTGCTCTCTCGCAATTCTGGCGGAATCAACGCTCGCCGGCTCGTCAACGACGATTGAAACTTCGAGGAGCAATGAATGCGACGCGAGAAATGTCATCGAAAAACCTCATGCAGATATACTGAAGTCAAAGAGTGTGAAAAACGATTCTCAAGGTTCTTTGGTGAACCAGAGCTACGTGAAAAGTGCGATTCAAATTGGCGAACGATCTGCGGCTGGTGTATATTTGAATAAAATATCAGATGCATCCACAACTCCAACTGTCAACTCCTCGAACAACTCTACGAAGGTTCTACAGTATACAAAATGCATTGAGAATCGAGAAAACGATGTGTCTCCGTCGAATCATGAAAACCGATCGGATGTAGATCTGTTGTCGCGCGATATATTACTGAATCCTTTTGATGTAATATCTCCTCATCTGACTCGTCTGACTCGCCAGGATAGAAAAAGCGACACGAATTACTCTAATCCTTCATCGGTCAAGAATAACGCCGAACTCTCGATTGACATCGAGAATGAAAATATCGGTTCTTCGCAAAAAGGCTCGGATCTCGAGGGTGATCTTGGCGTAGCCGAAGATAGATATCGATTTCAATATCCTTCTTGGTATCGAAGGCAATTTGCAAATCAAAGATATCGGACAAATGATAGGAGAGAGCCTTATCGTAACTACTTGAGATATCCTGTATTTCCCGGAAAATAAATCCGAAAAAGTTTAATTTTAAATCCAAAAGATTTAATTTTCGTTCCTCTTTCCTTTCGCTCTTTAAAGAAGAATTATATTTGCATAGTCAACTTTTTATAATAGATATATCTTGAAAAATAATGTAATGTAAAGAAAAAAAGCTTTTTAGAAAAATATATAATATTGTGTTAATATAGATGTAAGCAGATAATTATTTAATTATTATACTGTAATTAGCACTCCAATTGTAATTTTTATTAATGATTAAGAAGATTGTCTCTAAAGCGATTCTGTAACAGTGTTTTATAATTTACGTTTTACCTTTTACATATATAATTAGAAAAATATCTTTTCCTATAAAACTGGTACTTATACTAATAAAAAGGATTATTTAAAAAAAAAAAAGAAAAAATTATAGAATATTTTTAATAAAATGAAGTAATAAATTATTGTACTTATTAATTTCTGTTCACACAATTCTACAAACATTTTTGCGTACATTATATTAACAACAGATTTATTCTTTTTTAGATATAAGGATTATTTGTAGCGTATGTGAAACGCAAATAATATCAATATATTAAAATAAAATATCAATTATCTCAAACGCGAACAGATATAAATAATTAATGAAAATAATATTTTGCAAGTAATATCAATATGTAGAAGTGAAATATTATATAAGTCTCAAGTAAAACAAATAAATCTGTAAATATATGGAATGATGCCTCGATATTGGAAAAATACACGAATAAAAAATAAACAATTTATAAATAAAGTGTTTTATATTTCTATAAAATTTTATACACACATATTTTTGCTCAATTACACATGCAAAATTTCATCAAAAAAATCATATCACAATATATAACCACAATACAACATTCTTATATAAACATTTAAGTAAATTATAAATTCAATTGCTTGCACTCTTTTGCAATGCAACTTTGGTAAACAGCCTTTTCAATGTTATTTTTAACTAGTAATCTAGACTTAGAAATACGAGAAAATTCAACTTATCAGCTATTTAAAAAACTGAATTTTAATTTAATTTAAATATATATATATATATACACATATATATATATAGTTCATAAAAGAGATCATATGTGATCGTAAAAAAGCTAAAAATGTTTCCCCGGTTTTTCCAGTCGCTCTTGTAGTTCCGACATCGTTAAAAGAATGCCTCGTTAAGTTAGCGCATCCGTTAATTCGTGCCGTTAATGTCCGACAAAACAACGAGGTCCACAACCTTTTAGCGTAATTACTAAGGAGTTCAATATCCCTCAAACCGTCGTTTAAAGGTTCGTTCGCTTAAAAGCTTCTTTCTCTCATTGACGGTTCCGTGTTTTTTCTCCCTTTTTGTTTTTTGTTCTTTTTTTTTTTTGTTTATCTGTAAATCTCGCTGGTCCGGCAAGAGAACAGCTTTATATGTGCTTTTCAAATTTTCATGCTCCCGTTTCGTCATTAAACTTGCGTTCTTTATTCACGAACATGTTTGTAAGTATCTTCAAACAACAAGTTTTATTTTGCAAATTGATTCTTCCTTACTCTGTGTATATTCGTCTTCCTCGTCGAATGGCATCTCTGGCGCGCTGTCGATACGCGACCTGCTGGCGATAGACGAATAGAGGACGAAGAAGATTGGTACCAGCTGCAGTTTCGAGATCATCGTCATTATTTGTTTCCTTGATGCTGCGTTTTTCGACGTCAAAAGAGTTCTCGGTGTCATCCTCAATTTTATTGTTAGAATCGTCATTTAATGGATATATTCGTTGTTCGTCTATCGCAGTCTGAGTTTCATCGAAGTCCTCAATAAAGATTGGTACGGCAAACAAAGAACCGTATATGGTTGCCATCCTTAGAGGTGAGGCATAAGAGCAGGTGACAAACAATAAAGCGAAGACAATGAATTTGGCAGGTGTCTAAGAAAAAAGAAAAAATTGCATCTCTTTATATTTATATACAGTGATAAACTCCAAAGATTTGCGAATTAATTAATAGCTCATACTTAGAGTTGAAATAATTTTACAAAATAATTTTCTGATAAAATAAAAAAAAATTTATTAGATACTTAAACAAAAACTCCCGATATAAATAAAAAATATATTTCGACAAATACACGAATAAACATATTTGACAGAATAGAAAAAACAAATGCTTCTAATAATTTTTTTTAATATTAAAAGTAATTTCAGTTTCAATTAGAGAACTTATTTCTTAAATATATTACAATTATATATTAGATAATTAATTTTATTTAAAAAATTTATTCCTTCTTAATTTTTACAAAGAAAATATTTTTTTTAAACACTATAAATTACATGAAAAGATTTATTGAACTTGTAATACAAAAACTAGATTACGTCTAAATTACGTGGTCTATCTAAATGCGAAAAAATCTACTTACCATTTTATATCTGGAAATCTGGGATTATCGGCGATTCTCCGCAAGGAAATAACGATCGCTTCTGTTCGAAGCAAGCCGACACGAAGCGTTTCCTATAAGAGTATAATAGGCGCGGCAGGATAGCTCTCTCGCGACTTTATGGTGACCGAGATCGAGCATTCGGTATTTATAAGAAACAATGACGTCAAACCAGAGCACGCTAATTATACAATGACGTTCTACGACGGGTGATAACTGACCTGGTAAACCAAATGGATGTGATACACACCGTGATCTATCCTGGACGTACTACGTTGCTTCTTGTTTTGTTGCCGATTTCGCAGGTGTTAACTTGAGTACAAGGGAACGGTATTATGCTTCCTTGATACTCTGTTTATGCGTAAAATATTGATAATTTAGCACATTAATTGGCGCAGATCCGAAATTTCCGAATATATACCAACCAAAATAAAGCGACAGAATTTAGAATTTTGCTTTCGATCACAAACTTGCCGTGTGAGAATCTGTTCTTAAGTATCTCCATCTACAGCTCTTTGTGTGCTAATATACATATATTTTTTCATCCGTAGAATATATGTTTAAATTATATGTATATATTTAACTTTTTCTAATTTATTTCTTCTACTTTAAATTAAAGAAGTAAATTTTTAATCTTTGTCACATTTCTAAAATATCCTGTCACACCTTTTTATATTATGTAAAATTTAATTTCAAGTATAGCCTGTTGACTTTGTCAAAATTACAATTAATTCGTTTAATGAACAAAATAAAACTCTTCTATTTTAAAGTACTCTAAATTACATATTTGTTAACCAGAGAGCCCATATTTTTCATCTTATAATAAAAAATAAAAAAATTAATTATATTTTATTGATTATTATTTATCTATTATTGCCGATTTTTTAATCAAAAAATAACAAAAATAAATTTTATTATTTAATTCTAATATTATACACAAGACATATTCTTGCAAGATATTTCGTTGTGTAAGATGCAATCGTTGTTATATTTTCATGTGATGTATGACATAAGAGAGAACTGTCTATAGAACGCTGCGCGATGTTACACATTGTTACACATTGTTACATCATTGCACATGTGAAAATTTAATCTTGCTCTCATTAATACAGTGAATAATAAATTATTATTCAAACAAAGAAAAAGACATTCAACTTGTTAATAATGCAATTTGGTCTTTTAATAAAAAAAAAAGAAAAAATAATAATAGTAATAAATAATTTTTGGGCAATTTACTTTTTCTCATTAATTATCATACTTCATAAAAAAATACATTTGTTTAAGAAACCAAATTATATAGAATTTAATGAATGCATTTGTTATCAAATTATTACTTTTTATGATTTCAGATATTTCTTTTCTTTATGTTTCTTATTTTATATAGTAGATTAATATCTAATATTTCATGCATTATACTATTAAAATTAATTATCTAAAAATTTTCATGCTTTATTTTATTTTTGGCTTGTGTTGTGTGTGTGTGCGTGCAAGATCGCCAAAGACTGGAAGAGGATAAAAATCGTGGGAACCCCTCACCCTTGAATTTATAATCTAGGACTCGAGAATTCGATATGAAACAACGTGTTGTTTTTGTGTAGCAAACAATTTGATTTATTTTTCTGTCAAGCATTGCCACTGTACTAAAACAGATTTCTGTGTCTTCCCGCGGTTCCTTTTAAAACGTGACAAGGCACAAAACGAAGGATTATTGCAAGGATTATCTTTCGTTCTCTCGATCTACATCGTGGACTCGGCCTCCTCGTGCACAGATTCGCCGCTTTCCGTAGTTTCGCTTTTTGATCTGAAAGAAATCATCAGATAAGGATCTCTCCGGGCTTTCATTGGACGGAAAAGGCTAAGTACGAGACGACAGATGATAAGGCTCGAAATAGTTCCGCTAATTGTAAGTAATAACTTTAATATACAGAGTACGGCTGTATGATTCGCATCGCTGAACGTGTATGTAAACATTCCAGGGTTTATGCGATTCGAGATTCGAGATTACGATAGGACAGGATTAAGGTCACAAATCAAATCAATTATTTCGAAAGTGATATAACTTCACAAAATTCTGTAAAATTGTGAATTTTATCAAAATGTGACGATATTTTAGAATAAATCTTTTAATATTATATTTACACAATTTTCGAAATAAATGATTTAATCGGCTCTACGATGGAGAAAGATATCAACAACAGATGTACTATCATCAGTTATCAGTGACTCGTATATTTTCGAAAATGAGATTCGTGTTTAATCCAAAGTGATATTCGAGGGATTCAATTAATTATACTGATATTAGTACAGCTATTATTGTTGTGACGATAGTCGGAAGCATAATCTAATTAAAAAATAATATGCGTACCAGGAGTCGCCAATCTTTGATATAAAGAAAAAAACGAATACATTACTAATGGATAAAATATATAGACACAAAATGAGATGCAAAATATGTTTTAATTTTTTTTTAATAAGAAATCAAGATTTTTTTTTAAGACTCCTGGTAAACATCGAATTTTTTGATAAAACGCCGAACGTAAAAAGAATTAAAAAAGTATAAAATGAAATCCCTTCTTAATTTAACAAATAATCAATAATCCACCGCAGTATAGTCTTAATCAACTATAAACTACCTCTTTCTATGTGGAACGAAATGTAAAAACCAAATAAGTATCAGGTTAAATAGTTTGAAACGTCTTTTCATGTGATTGTCTGGGATCCACTACAGAGTTGCATCGATGGTTTGTAAAAAACATCTGTATTACCTGAATCCATAGTACATGAATCCGAACTGTCCACAGAGAGAAAACATGTTTTGCGAAAATAAATTTACGATGATAAATGCACAATATTGTAAGAATTACGTATTTCCGGGTCGTAATCAAAATTAGGATATGAAATCTACAATGCGAAAGATTCTATTCTCACAATGCTATTCTTCCGGCTGCGTAAAATATCTGCCAAGTATCTCGTAAGAGGCGATTATTTCGATCCGATACATATATGTATGCTCGCGAGATCATCGATCTTGTCGCTCTGTTATTTCCGTATAAATAATATTTTATTTATTGCATGCAAGTCTTTCGTAATATCGTTCAGTGCCTATCTGTATAAATTGTCGTTCCTCCTAAAACTCAGGCGAAGGAGCAGAACGATGATAGAGAGAGCGATTTGATTGATATCATTCACAAAAAGATTATTCCATCGTGTAATTATATGTGCGAATAGATTTTAAAAATCAAAATTATATCCGATAATTAATCTTCTCGATAAATACGCTCACTCATGACGAATGGCCATATCATTAGCTCTGACGAGATTAGATTATAAGAAATATATATTATTAAAGAAAAAAGAAATTTAATAAAGTTGTTAGTGATTAGTAAAATTTCTGATAAAATTTCTAAAGTCTCTTGCCGATAATTATGCGATCCATTATGATATTCTTTCTTTTTGTCGTTGCGTATCTCGCTCCTCTCTCTCCTCATCTATTATTTTTTCTTTTTTCTTCGCCCAGTTCTTTCTCTCAAACACGCTTCCAATTTCCGTTTTCCTTCTTTTACTGCGCGCATCCAATTTTCTATATATTAAAATACCATTCAACGCTACAATCTTACAAGGATACACCGTAAATGTAATTAACTACAGTACGAGTTGCAGGATGCAGAATGGGCTAGATGAGAGAGAAATGTTATCCTCGCTGACGCTATACGATTATTCGACGATTGTTTCTCAGATGTTCAAAGTACTTTTAATACACACAAATATAATAAAAAGATGATTTATATTCTTATAGTTTATATTTTTCTATGTCAGAATTTTTCTTCTTTTTGCCATTTTTTACTGATTTTCTTCTATTTATTCTTGCAATGTTCGATAAAATTAAAAAGATTATAGAAGAACAAAACCATTCGTTTCATGCTTAATTTTTCAAAAACAGCCGATTAATCGAATAAGTGTCCAGCTCTTTCTACTCTCACATACTTTAGTCTCAATCTTTTGAAGCACGTTCACATACAATTATCTATTTTTTATCTTGAGGTAAATTCGTGTCTTTCCGCATTTCGACGATGGATAATCGTCAGTGTGTAACTGTAAAAAGGCCCCGTCGTATATAACGTAGACTAAAAGACATCGCGTGATCTACAAAGTGTATGTTCTAGCTGATGCGCTTCTGAGAGAGAGAGAATCAAGGATCGTTAATTTTCCCTGTCTTACCATTCTTACATCTGCCTAATGCATACACTCGATTCTTACCATTATTATTAATCCGGCTGCCAAGCGTATCGATCGAATCGTAACCGTTCGATATCGTCATGATCCACGTATATTGCTTTAAATTTAAGAGATAAGAGTTTCAAACCCGAACTTTTTTCGCGCAAGATCGAGCGCGCTTAGTTAATCGATTTCTTAACATAAACTATTCGAAATATATAAGCTCAGAATCATTGCTCGCACATTTTATGTATGTACCCTGAACGCTCGGCAATCCGGAAATTATGATAAATTGATTAATTCGAAATGGCCTCTCTTTCTCGATACGCATGTCAAGAAAAGTTAATTTAAATAAGTTAATTATATCTAATTTAGTAAGATAAATTATAGTGAGAAATTGTAATCTAATAAGACCTGTATTTTTATTAAAATTATTTCACGTTGGACTTTGTTAATATTTTTTCGATTAAAAAACGGATTTGCTAAAAAAACTAAATTTTTGATTACAAAGACAATTTACAAAAATTATGTATACAAAAATAGAGAAAATTGAAAAAAGAGAACGATATCTTACTGTTACTTAAAATATAATGAGAACACCGAAAAATACCATTTCGAATAAATCACACGATTTGTGTGATAGAGATTTACTAGATAATTATCTACTTATATATTGTCAGATATATATATTAAGAACGGTTCGCTTCTCCACGGTGACTATGCTCTTTCAAAAAGGGGAGAGATTGATACCGTTACATTATTTACCGATCGCTGTGGTTTCACTTTCTTCCCCTTGTTTGTACGAGTAGGCACTTAGCTATGTTTCTGTGTTTTTGCTTGTTTTGTTTTATAACGTTATGTCTATTGTACACACGACGAGTAATATAAAAGGATGTGTCGCCGGATCTGCTCTTTTGTGTCTTGCCCGATGCTGATTGCGAAGCTCAGACCTTTTAGAGGCTAATAATAAATTATATCACGTATATGAAAAAAAAAAAAATTATTATTCTTAATAAATGGTAAAAAGATAACGTTTTTTTCTTTTTGTAAAAATGACATAAAATTATATAATAAAGATAGAAGACATACTATTCTATGTGTGTGTGTAAAAATATTTTGTACCAAGAAATCAATTTCCGATAATAATATGCAAAAGTTGCGCTCGCAATTTTCTCAAACAATGATTGAATGCGTGAGTTGCACGATCAACATCGACGACCGCTCCCATCCTCCTACGCATTCATTCACTCATGCACGCGTTTCCCGTTTCTCATATCCATGTATACACGCATACACACACGCAAGCATGCACTTCGGAGCGCACAATTGTTTTGGAACTTTCAATTAGCACCGTGTCTTCGTGATCTGTGAACTTTCGTGAGCGTATGTCTCACTTCCGGAAGCTTCGCGCGATCGTCAACAACGGGGGAGATGAGTGTCTATGATCGTACTTCTCCGCTCTTTCTCGGGCATAAAACGGCGATGGATAAATGCGAATTTCGAAACCGTGGGAACGTGTCATCCTCGAAATTACATTTCAACTCTCGACTCGAAGATGTCACAGAACGGTCAAAAAAATTTTTCCATGCCGTATCTCGTCGTTCTCAATGATACGATAACGATTGATAGCGAAATTAGTCGCGCCGTTTCTGCTTGATCGGATCGTCGCAGAAAGAGATAGAGAGTGAGAAAGAGAGATTGCAGTTTTATATATACTTACATAAATAATATCTCGATAAAAATTAGATAACAATAGTATTATATTATTATATATTATAAGTGCATAAAGTTAAAACGTGTTGTTGACAATAGAGAATACTGCATATCCCCTCGAGTTCCGCGTGGAGTACTTTTGCTCGTTTGTTCTTTCGTTTTCTGTTTCAATGTTTGTTTTTTGTTTTTTTTTTTTTTCTTTTGCCGCGTACCGTTCCATAATCACGCGAAGAGCACGTCAATATACGCAAATCCGACGTGTTTAAAACCTCGTTGGGAGATCGTGTTCCAACGGCAGTAACGTACAAAAGTAGAAAATACGCATTGACGCGCGTTTTAAGATACCGCGACTGCATACGCTTCTCTCATTACGCTTCATCTTTGGATGGAACACGATCTGACAAGTCTTTCTCTCAAGATGATCTATATAAAACCTCGACTTAAGAAAACGCGGGCTTAACTCTCATTATTTTACCGTTCGTTTACTTCCTCCTCTTTCCATCTTCCTAGAAGTCATTAGACATACTCAGTCTTTATCCAACGCCCAATGTACAGTTTTTAACATATGTTATTGGGCGATGAGCTGAAATACACATTTTCTAAGATTTTTGCTTAAAATTTTTCCTCGTTTTTCTAATGATTACTGTAATTTCATTATCGAATTTTCGGAGCTTAACATGAATATTGAAGTAGAATGCACGAAAACGGCTCGATCTTAGAGAGAGATTTTCAAAAACGAAAATCTATAACACAGAAATAACTAATAATTCTTTGAAATAACAATTTGCTGTATACAGAATATATTTTCGCGTCTATTTTTTTTTTTGCTGCTACCAAAGATTTATCATTCTTATAATTTCGAAATTTATGACATCTACTTTGTCACTCAATTAACAATAAAAATAAATAATAATGATCGGACGTGGTAATGAAAAGCTTTTTTGATAAATATGATATAACTCAATTTTTCCACACGTTTCTAATGTATCTAAGATCCAAAATAGTTTCATTTAAAAATGTAAGAAAAATTTAAAGCTAATATCCATATATTAGGAATGTTTTGTTGCAGAGTAAAATAATCATTTCTATAATTCTATATTACTGTGCAAAATAATAGGATTCGTATAAATAGTAAGCTCTAACACGAATAGCTGGATCAAATGTACGACATTTTAGATGATAATTTACAACAGTGCTATTATCTTGCAACTTTTGGCCAGATTTTGTGATTCACTCCTACTGCCTCTCCATTTATTGCTCGCGCGTTAGTAACGAGATGCTGGATGCGCATAACTAACAATAAGAAGCGCGACATTTAGCTTTAGGAGTGTCCATATCGTAAATGTATTGAAATAATATGCTTTTAATAACACCGCATATTTTCAAATATAATTTTTTTATGATTTATATATTATTAATAATTAAAATTATATTTTTTACCATATCGATATATATAGCTTTGAATAAAATGTTACAATAATTTTATAATTATCGCAAAACATATGCATATATATATATATATAATGTTAATATTATTATATGTAAATATATATGCGCTGGATGCGCGTCCAGTGTCTCGTTGCTAACGCATGAATAATAAATGCGGAAGTAATGGACATGAACCACGAAATCTGGCCGAAAATTGCAAGTAGAGAGAACAGCACTAATTCACAAAATATAAATATAAAATCTCTGTTGTAACAAAAAAGAAAAATAAAAAGATCGCAAATAAGAAAGAAAATATATCTTACTCATAGCCCAACAATAAAAAATTCAAGTGAGATTACTATAGCAAGTGAAAAACATATTTGAAACATCAGTTTATAAAGTATCAATATATAATATATGTATAATCTAAACTTCTTTATGAATGTTTTTGATGTAAGACACAATAGAATCTACTTCAATTAATAAATAATTAAAAAGACATTCATCTATGGAACTAGAGAATACAACTTTTTAACAATTTCTTTCTAGACCTATCATTAGTGTACTTCTATTTAATGCTATTAAAGAAATTAAAAGATATATTTCCAAATTAATTCAATTCATATTTTTTAACATGGAAATTATGATACATTAAAAAGTTTATTATTATAAGCTTTTTAATTCATAAATTTCATAATTTGAAAATATAAATCTAGAACAATTTGGAAATTATCTAATGAACCAGAATGATTTTGATACCCTGAAATATATTATTAACAGTAAGCCTAATTCACATATCTAGAAATGATTTGTTAAAAATCACAGAAATGTAATCTGCGCCTTACTTGCTTACCGATTGTTATGTTAATTGAATTACAAGGAAAATATCGGGTACTAATATAGAAATGTGCACTCACGTATTATTTATGGGAAATGACGAAATCAATATCATTCACCTTCCAAAAGATATAGTCTTTCAAATTAAAACTGACTTTTCATATTAACTTTATATAACCATGATCCTAAGCATGGTTATGTGTAACGTTATATGAGTTTATCATTATCGCTATAATGATAAGTGAATAAGAAGACTGAATGATCAGAATTGTAAATCTAATCATATAATTACATGGTTTATTGTGTAACTAGAGCAAATCTCTGGGCAAATATTTTTATATATGAGAATTATAAAAAAAAAAACGCGAAAAAAGCTAATAACTTTCTGTATACTCCTTATTCTCTCATTATAACGTTTCCGTAAGCGCGTATATCAAATAATCTACTCGCTTCTTGATAGTAGCAGTTTTAAAGATAGTAAAAAAATGGTGAGAAGAACATATGATACGCCGTAACGTTCTAGGTACTTGTCGAGTAAATCACAATATAAAAATACAAATCGAAAGTTCATTTCCTTTTTCTGCCTTAGTCGATTTCCGATTCTGCAATTATTACTGCTCGAACATACAAGCAGCGTGCTCTAACAATATACTACCTTGGTTAATCCTTAGCGATGTTCTTTTTCTCTTAACGTTTTCTTTTTTCGCTTATTGTTTCCGTAGTGGAAACAATATTGTTTGCGATATCGCTGGCAATACGCAATTATACTGCGGGTCGTATGGTACGGAACAACACTCTTCTTCGATTATTCTCTTAAAGATATTTTAACCAAGATCAGGTTATGAAAATAAACCTAATCTAATCTTGCATTAGAGAATATCGCGTGTTAAGAGTAACCTTCTTCGATGATCTAAGTCATTCAAATGTTGCTGAAAATCCACATGTACGTACGTACGTATGTACGACATTCTTAAACGCGAGATGGTAGATTTAACTACGCATGTACAGATAATAATACAGCGCTACGATACCCCCACCAATCCCAATTCCTATGCCTATTGTAAGGGGCGTAAATAATGACCTCTTGAGCTTCTGCCATTCTTCCGTTTCCTTTTGTCGGCGTTTCATTTCGCGCACTTGTGCCGCTAATCGCTCGTTTTTCTCCCGATTGCGCCGACGTACTTCCCCTTTCCTGTTCAGAAAACAAAACATGTGTATTTCGTAATAAATTAAATATTTAAATAGTTCGCGTCTGTTACTAAGAGATATTACTCACGCGTCTGATTTGGACGGAGAATTGTTTGTCTGGAGAGAACTATCAGCATCATTGAAAGAGATTTCTTCACATATCGGGATATCATCTGTGCTTTGTTCACTTGTACAATTTGCGAACATAGCCTTTGTATCTGTGGGCCATTCTGCGTGATTCGGTGGTTCACTAGGTAACGGTTTATCAGGTGGTGCACTTGATTCATCTGTAATTGACATTATAAAGACCATTTTTTTATTAATGTAAAAAGAATTTTGTAAGTGGAAAAACAGAAAAAGATAAAAATACCACTCGATGTATCCGGACTTATATCATCCATCTTTCTATGCGACAAAGATGCTATTCTTGGAGGCAAAGGAGGAGGGTCGTCGTCTTTTTCTAACGAGATGTTGTTTTTATTATTCACCTCCTCATAATAATTCTTTAATATCTCGTTGTTTTCAGTATTCTGTAATATAAACTTCCATGAAAATATTGGTGATTAAATGTTATTATAGTGGCTTAACCAGATACCGGGTTAGCTTTGTTGAAACAAATATCTTCTTATTTAAAAAGTATTGTTTAATGAAATCATATATATGTTTTACGAGAAATATATATAAAACATATATATATAAGAAATATATATAAAGCATAGATACAAGTATTATATAACACTACTACTACTATGAATTACTTACCGAGTTGCCAAGTGGCGATTGTTTCGCTCCCTCAATAATGGCAGCATACGAGAAACGCAGTTGTTCCGGCGTTTGTATCAGACCCATACGTGATTTTCTCATTTCCAGTAATATCTCGCGCACATTCACAGCATTTAAACCATTTTTCTCGATCTGCAATCAAGTAATTAGCGCTTAATAATTGTTAAAACAGTTTCTTCCAGACTAGAAAACGTTTGTTCCATTTAACATACCAATACTAAGCATGTATCAACCAAGCACAATATGAAATCATATATATGTTTTACGAGAAATATATATAAAACATATATATATATAAGAAATATATATAAAGCATAGATACAAGTATTATATAACACTACTACTACTATGAATTACTTACCGAGTTGCCAAGTGGCGATTGTTTCGCTCCCTCAATAATGGCAGCATACGAGAAACGCAGTTGTTCCGGCGTTTGTATCAGACCCATACGTGATTTTCTCATTTCCAGTAATATCTCGCGCACATTCACAGCATTTAAACCATTTTTCTCGATCTGCAATCAAGTAATTAGCGCTTAATAATTGTTAAAACAGTTTCTTCCAGACTAGAAAACGTTTGTTCCATTTAACATACCAATACTAAGCATGTATCAACCAAGCACAATGTTCCTGATCTTCCTATTCCTGCGGAACAATGGATGATGGGTGGACCAACATTTTGATCTAATGCTCCTGATTGCCTAACGTCTGCCAAGAAACGTAAAAAGGCCGTTGGACTTTGTGGTACTCCAAAATCTGGCCAAGTGGTATAATGAAAATGTAAGATTTCTCTACTATCGTTAGTTTCCAAGTCTGTTATACTGTAAATAAATTAAAAACATTGAAAACGTTATAATAATGCTTGCAAAAAAATTAAGGATTATCAATTATAAAACAAAACTTGATGAGAATGGTTTGATATTTGAAATTATGATATGTACATATATCTCTTTACCGTAATGTTCTAGTAGTGTAGTCTGATGATTCTATTTTGCTGACATATTCCACCTCTAAACTGACATCTTCAAACGTCATAGTAGGTTCATGTGAATCATCCAGAGGCCAATATTGATGGCATTTGACTTGATTCTTTTCGATTATCTTATTTAACATCAATACGGCTCTGCTATTTTGCTCCCATACCATTAGCCAAAAGTGGCCGGCAGTATTCGGCAAAGGTCCTTGTGTCAAGATATATTGCCTATGAGCACGATCCACCTAACAAACAAATGGTATAATACATTTACATTACATCATTGTCATTTGTTGGCCACTTATATCACACAAATATTATATCTTATATAATTTAATATTTACTTTTATGAGATTGGCATGTATATAATCACATACACCTCGGTTAAGAATAATTCTAGTGTGATCATATGGTGCCACATCCCTGTAGCGATTCAAGTTTTTGTTCTGTGGTTTTTTTGATTCATTGCATGTGTACTCATAATTTCCACATTCATTACGTATATGCTGGAAAATGTTAAAAGTCACATGTGATTAATGATAAATTAAGTAAAATATATACAAAGAAGTAATCTTTCACTTTCTTACAAGTAAAAATCTATAAAAGTGTTTCAAAATCATATACAATGGATTGACAGATATCAGAGATAGATTTCTACACATGTTTTTAAAATTTCAACGTTTACTATTAATCTGAATTTTTCATGTATATCCAACTGCTAAATAAATTAATTTAGATAACACAATCGTTAATCTTATATTCCTCCCTCCTTCCCCCCTCCCCCAATATAATTGCTCCAAAAATATATAGTACAATCACAAATCGAAATCTGACTTAGAAAGTCAATAAATCATTGACTTACAAATTTGCAAATAGGCTCAAATAACTAATTAACATATAAATCATATAAATCAGACATGTTATATTAAAATAAGCAACAAAATAAGAAATTTTGCATTTCTATTATAACAAACTTTCTATATAAATTTCTATACATATATTCGTGTGATATTAAATTTTGTATTTTTATTGTGCGGCATTATATATATCATTATGCACATATATATAAATATGATATTGTATATGAGATACGATTTTGATAAAGAGTAGCACTTCTGACATAGATAAAAATTACATCATGTGAGATAAAATTCATTGAGACTAGAGGAAATCATAACAGTAAGAGATATTAAGGAAGATATAACGACTTCAACGGAATAATTATAACATTCGAGTGTATCATATATCATCGAGTTGCTCACGCTTCGTTTCGAAGAAATTGCGTGTGATCGCAAATTACAAATAATGAAATCATATATTTTCGAGTTGGAAACTCTTGACCTTGGCGAATACAATCACGCCGGCTTGTATACGCCGAGCACAGGCGTACATTGTCATCTCCCGCTTGTCAGATGTGACAGTTGTCAGTTGTCACGCTTTTCCAACGAATTTTAATAGAAATTTCGATCATCCACATCATCTACACCACATTAATGCATATTAAAGGCTGCTGTATATGAAGTATCTAAATAATAAATCGAGGATACAAATATATTGTATATTGTACAAAAACGCAAAAATCAAGGACGCAAGTATATATATTATATATTGTATAAAAACGGAAAAAAAAAAAAGAGTTGGATATATTTTCGTCGTTAATAAAACTTTCGTTACAAGATCACGAGGTCAATTCAAAATTGCCGAATTAAACGTTGCCTTAGAAAATTGCGTACGATATATTTTTGCATGTGTGAACATTCCTGTTTTGTGATTATTTTCTACGGAACGTTATACCTATTCATATGCAGTCTAGCGGTTCTCGAACCGGCAATGTTCTCACATAGTAATGAAGCAAGTCCGCAGACCGGTCACGATTTAATACGGCGATATTCTGTATTTATGTCGCTACAAGTCTCGATGCACAATAAAAGGAGCATTTTTCGACTGACAAGAAAAAGGTGATCTCGGAAAAGCGATAACGCGAGACACGAGAGTCCGCGGAGAGCGAGAGTGTGTACGTGATAGAGAAAGAGAGAGACTGGGAGAAGGGGAAAGAGAGAAAGAGAGCGATGAAAAAGTGCGCGATGAGTAGCCGGCACGATGTGTCAATCGAAGAGCAACGTTGTCCGTTAAAATCGTCGGAAATGACAGCGGAAAGAGTTGTCGCCGAGCGGAAGAGC